CCTCACAAGGATTATATGACATAGGAACTATTATTGTCTCACTTTACAGATAAGGGAATAGAGATACAAGAAGGTGGTAGACTTGCCTAGAATCACACAGAATGTCTGTGCTTTGAAACAAGTCATCAGAAAGAAGGCAAATTCTTTAAAGATTAATCCATCTGTCCATTCAGCATTCTTGTTAGGTATCTCGTACAACATCCAGAAAAATAAAATAATCTAGAGCAAGACAAGTAGAGTAACTAATTAAAATTAAAGAGAAGGGATTGAGATTAGCTTCACCAAAAACCTCCTGGATAAAAGACTATATAGGAAAACAAAAAGTTCACGAAGTAATACTATAAAATGTCCTACGTAGGAATCAGAACTAATACCCAGCCTTGCTAATAGCTTGGATGGTATTATAAAACCCCTTCAGGTGTGAAAGGGACTAAATGGATATCTGTTCTAGGCTTCTAAGAAGTAATAGCTGACTTTAAGGAGAAGTCAAGTATCCAAGAGCTTCCCCTGGCACCTTTTACCTGGTTTATGCAGGAACAGTGCTTGTTTTGACACTATAACCACCACAACTTTTTAGAACTGAGCCTGGCATGTAATACATGCTCAGTAAATATTTGCTGAATGAATGAATTACAAAGAATAAACGAATATAACAGTGAAATGTTTGTGGAAAGTTTTAGATAGTTTGGAAAGCACAGGTAAGACTTTGATTCAGAAGGTAGTCTTGAAGAAATCAAAGGAGGGGAGCAGGATTACAGAACCAGAAGTAAGAACTATAACTGAGCAAGAGTTTGACTTGAAAGATCTCTAAATAAGAGAGTGTGAGAGAGAAAATGAATGATAAAAGCAACGGCAATAATTAGAGATTAAGTCCTATAAATGTTTTTGAGCAGAGAGAAAGGTATTCATGTTTTGTCAATATAGTATTTTAGGGCCAGGCACAGTGGCTTATGTCTGTAATCCCAGCACTTTGGGAGGCCAAAGAGGGCACATCATTTGAGGTCAGGAGTTCAAGACCAGCCTGGCCAACATGGTGAAACCCCGTCTCTACTAAAAATACAAAAATTAGCCAGGTGTGGTGGCTCATGCCTGTATTCCCAGCTACTCGGGAGGCTGAGGCAGGAGAATTACCTGAACCCGGGAGGCAGAGGTTGCAGTGAGTCGAGATTGCACCACTGCACTCCAGCCTGGGCGACAGAGCGAGACTCCACCTCAAAAAATAAAAAATGGTGTTTTATCAACACATTGTTAACAACAAAAAAAAAACCAAACCAACATGTGAAGACTTTAAATCATGCAAATAATAATGATACAAACAGCAGCAAATAACAGGTGGGAGCACTTCTCTTGTGCCAGGCCCTGGGTGAAGTGCTGTAGTTATAGAGTGCACTGGTTAGGCACAAGAGCTCAGATTGATTCCCACCTCCTGCTCCAAATGACTGTGGTCAAATCATCATGTACAGTGTCATCTTATCTGTGAGATAATAATAGCATCTACTCTCTAGGCCTGAAGTTGCAAAGATTGAGACTGGTAGGGGTTTTGAAAAGTAAGGAATAAGGGCAAAATAGAAGAAGACGATTTAGAGCTCCAGTTTCACAAAAGGATAGGCATAATCACTGCAGCCTGGAGGGTGTGACAGGTAGTTCAGAACAAGGCATTCTTAAAATAATAAAACAGAAATGGCCCACCAAAACACTGGGCTAGACTATCACTGCGTCATAATTTACCTCGTACTTCTGCATTTAATTTTCCCTTTCATTTCTTTATTTTCAAAATTTTCACTAATTTCCTATTTCTCTTTTCATGAATGTCTCCATCACTGAATGATGAGTTCCCTGAAGATGAAGGCTGTGCTTAGATCTTTCATTCTCTGCCCCTAGGACCATGCTAGACCCATAATTAATTGTGGTAAAATGATCAAGTGAATAGTAAGAAAACACTACATGAAAAGAAACTGATGTGAATGAGAATTTTAAGAATTTTTCAGGAAAAAGATATAAAAACACTTTCACAAAACAGAAAATTGGTAAGAGGAAATAATCATTTATGTAAGTAATATACATTCAACACATATGTAATATATTCACACACAAACATATATTTGTGAGTGCAAACATATAGTTTGTCATTAAGATTCCCCAAAGTGACTTTCACTGAGTGTAACTCCATTATTCATTGTTTCTTCACCCCATACCATTCTTCTAAATAGATAATGAACACAGGTTTATGCGCTTCCCTATTTTGAAGAAGTGAGAAATTTAACATAAGATTGGGAAGGAGAGTGAAGAAGAGCCTTGGAACTATCTGAAAGGGGCAGAGGAAGGACATTAACAGGGAGAACAGGGGCCATGCTGTTCTCCTGAATTAACCCCAGGATAAGGAGAACTACCTGGGCATTCCTCACTAAGAATTCATCACTGTCCTGGCTCTCAATCTCTGTCTTTACCACCTATCTTCTTGAGATCCTCCCCTGAATTCAGAATTTTTCTCTGATTGACAATATGATTGAACTCTGATTAACCCGTCTTCTGAGCAACCTTCCACTGGTGAATAAAACTTCATATCTTCACACATTGATCCTAAAACATTTAACTCTATCCTCCCAGAAATTCTCAGTCAAGCAGCTCCCTCTCAGACAACTTGATTTCAGTCAGTCATAATTCCCCCTAAACACACATACACCTTATTTTGGGATGATCCCCTTCATAGCTAGGATACACTTTAACTCCTAGGAAAGCTACACTTTACATGGGTTAGCCTAGCTTTTCCTGTGTTCCTGGTTGAGACATAACCTCGTACCTAGTCTCAAAAAATATTTGAGGAAATGACTTAGTGAATGAGCTGTCAAGAAGTCATCCCCTTAAGTGCTTGCCCCCAAGCATGTGACACAGGATACACAATGAGATTCTACTCAGAAAGTCCCCTCTTCTTTCAGACACTCTGTCAACTGGAAACAGAGCTATTAAAGTTGAGGAGGTAAAAGAATCTATGCTTAAGCTAGAAATTTGCTCTTCAATACTAACACATGCTAAAAACTTATGTATCACTAGCCTGGAATGACTGTATCTGCTCTGATCCCTGAGGCTCTGCCTTTTACCTGCATCTCTTAACTTCATTACAGAATAGGTACCAACTAAAACGTAACTACCAAATCCTATGGTCTCCTCTCCATTGTAATTTCTATTTCAGCAACTGTCAGGGCACAGCTCTTTCAGCAAAATTAAACCTTGCCTGAGAACAGACCTATTTCCACCTCTAGTCCCCTAACTTGATCTTTCATTGTACTGAATTTTGATGGCACAGAGCCAAGCTTACAAATTCCTTGGTGTTCACTTTTATAAAAACTGTCCACATACAATTACTGTTTGTTTCATCCAAGTAAACATCATATATAATAAATGCCTTATTAACCAACCAATAGTTTCTTATACCTGGAAGGTGTTCAATAAAAGCATTGTGTCCAACCTAAAAATAAAATACTTAGTAACATCCATATTTAAAATCCATACAATTCTCAAACCATACATTTTGATTCCATGGACTTTTACAATGTGTTCTCTGATTTTTAAATATCCATAGGTAATATTATTGTCACCAAGGAATAAACCACCAGAAGCCACAAAGCAAAAAAGCATTTTTTAATAAACCAGGGATCTGGAAATTTTAAATAGGAGAAAGATTATTTTGTTTCATTTGAATGTTCTGCCAGGTATTTGTATTTCTTTTCTGAATTAAATTATACTAACTTCTAGAAGTTAATTTATCAATAGTTTCTGAGCAACCAATGTATTTAAGGTTTTAAACCTATGGCATGGTTAATATGCCATACATTTATTTTTCTTAAAAGTACAATTATAATTTAAAATATTCAACCTAATAGAACACAGTCTTTTAAAAAACTTTGCATAGAGAAATTATTACAAGAACATTCGTGTTTTATAATTTTTGGAGTCAAAATGACAAAACCAAATGTCTTAAAGAAAAATTGGAATGTATTGATCATGGTTATTTTATATATCAATGCTATAAAAGCTAAAAGTGAATATGAAACTGACTGGCAGAAGTGAACCTGTCCTACATATAGCGAACTGAAAACAGACACCTGAAAAGATCAGCCAATACTTTATTAGATAAAAATAAGAAGGTACCAAACACTATTAAAATGGCATAAAGTTGGTGTTACAATTTCATCAAGCTAAAAATAGGTTACAGTAAGAATGACTTTAAGGGAAAATAAACAAAACAAAACAAAACAAAACAGGGTAAGGCCAATATCACAAAGTGATTAAAGAGATGGAAGATAACTCTCTTCTAAGTCATTAAACTCACCGATATCATACTGAACTCCAGAGCACTTAGTATTTTCACGTGCTATTAGAGAATTTAGTGGGTTCACTGAATTGATTGATTTCTTTGTTAATCTATTTACATGGGTTAAGACCCTGACTAACATAAAACACAACCAAAATATGCGAGATAGAGACTGTAATGAAAGACTGAGTGACGTATGGTTTGGGGTACAGCCTATCCAATAAATGTGCTTGGCCAGCAAATAACCTATTGGCAAAGATTTATTATCGGAACCAATACAATCTAAAAAGACCTAATACAATAAAACCTGCAGTATAAACACAAATTACTCAAAAATACAAATCATTTCCCCGTATAGTTGATCTTTCGATGATATTAAAATTCTCTTCATATGTTTTATTCAAGAATTTTTTGAACAAGTAAAAGAAATGTGTATGCTGCATAAATTGCCAATAATAGTGTAATTCTTTGATTCATTAAAAAAAAATCCAAAGTTTATGTTACTTAGAACTCTTCAACAATTTTTAAAATATATACAAAGAGAAGGAAATATTTCTAGGAAATATATAATCAATATAAAAATGAACTACCTACTAGAATAAGTTATCATTATGTTTGAATTACATATAATACATTATTACCAAATTAATAAACATTAAGGACATAGAAATGATTTGAAATGTTATACCTCCAAGTTCTTTTACATTCAAGATGGCATTCTGGAATGGCACTGCTTTAATACTAAAACCTAAAATTAGAAAACAAAAACATAAAAAAAGAATTAGCAACTTAACTTTTAAATTAAAATACTTACAATGCTCAAATCTTCTCTTTTTAGGCTGGTTAAGATTTACTTTTTGTAGCTGATATTTATACTAGAAACACATAATTTCCAAGGTAAACTGATAACTGAATATTATCTTCTACCATTATGAAAACATAGTTGGGGCTGGGTGCGGTGGCTCACGCCTGTAATCCCAGCACTTTGGGAGGCCAAGGAGGGTAGATCACGAGGTCAAGAGATAGAGACCATCCTGGCCAACATGGTGAAACCCCATTTCTACTAAAAATACAAAAATTAGCTGGTCCTGCTGGCACATGCCTGTAATCCCAGCTACTTGGGAGGCTGAGTCAGAAGAATCACTTGAACCAGGAGGCAGAGGTTGCAGTGAGCTGAGATCAGGCCACTGCACTCCAGCCTGGAGACACAGTGACACTCCATCTTAAAAACAAACAAACAAAAAACATAGTTGTGTACTACGGCAATATACAACACTATCCCCTTTACTTCAAAATATTGCCTTATTCTTTAATATGTAATGTCACTCTGCAACTTTTATCAGATGTAAGAAAGGCATTTGAAAGTATAGAGAAATTTCAAAGAAAATATTAAATCTGTGAGGACCTCTGCATCTAACTTTAATTCTTAAAGTTAATGTCTTATAATTCTTTCTCACATATAACTCAGCAACCCTAGAAATTAAGGTACTTAAATTATAACCATTTCATATTAGAATTACATAGTATTTATGTTAGTATCTTCTTTAAAGGATATGGTTAATATGTCATATATCTATTTTTCTTAAAAGTACAATAATTATCCACTTACGCACAATCATTTTATAATACATGTAATACAAGATTTGTATTATGAAAATATATTCAGAGTATATAGTTCTATGATTAACCATATATTTACAACTTTACTACCATTCAAGACAATAAATTCAGCTGTGACATATGCAGGTGTGCATATACCTATTCACGCGCACACACACACACACACACAAATATATACACTGATTCTTTCTGAAGGATCCACAAGAAACCAGAGCTAATAATGACTCTCAGAAAAACTGGGAATCTGGAAATTTTAAATAGGAGGAACATTCTTTTGTTTCATTTGAATGTTTTGCCATGTACTTATATTTCTTTTTTGAATTAAAAGCCCTATGAATTTCTAGAAGTTAATTTATCAATAGTTTCTGAGCAACCATTCTACTTAAGGTTTTAAGCATTATTTAATATGTATAATTTTAATGTTAAAAAACAGGTTTTCAATAACTTATCAACAAAGAAGACAAATTATGAGTCTTTCATTTGAGGTAAGTTATGAAAAAATATATAAAGTATTATACGGATAAAAACAATTCTTTTAAACGGCTTTGTTTTGCTTTATAAAGAAGGAAATCATTACACACCTTCTTAGTCCAGCCTATCTTTTGCACTTATTTGCTGCATGTTATCCCAGTACTTTAATAATCTGTACATTACCTTCCACCTAAGGTAGTACGTAGTATATAATGTTTGAAGAACTGACTTTGGAGTCAGACAGAACTAGGTTGAAATTCTAGCTCTGTTACTTATTAGCTCTATGAATGTGGGCAACCTACTAGCCCTGCTTGGCTTTCTCATCTATAAAACAGGGATGATAATATCTACTTCATAGGGGTGTTATAAGGATGAGATAATATATGTGTTGTGTTTATCACAGTGCCTGGTGCACCATAAGCACCTAATATATGATTGCTTTCATTATGTTTCCATTGATGCTTTTTCATCGATGATTTCATCATTAGGTATACATATTTTCTGCCTGCCTGAATATGATTATAAACTCGATTCTGGGTGCTCACTTATTAATCTAAGTATGTAGCTGGAGATGTAAAAGTTACCATTGAAGGAAAAGTACTTTTGTTGAAGTGATGAAGTTGTCAACAGCTGAAGTTTGCTGTACAGAAAGTACGGAAAATGTTCACTGGGTCCTCTAATAATCTTCGAAAACACACCCCTTCCTTTGTGGGCTTAACGCAGATTGACACAGTCAGCACAGCATTACGGTTAATGGTGCATGAAGTCACTGAATCTTAGTAAATGAGCAGGAGGAAAGAGGAGGCAGTCCCATGTGGCTGAAACACTGGCATGTACCTGAGCCTGCAGGAAAGCCTCTCCAGGTGTCTGGCCTCTGGGAAATTAAGGAAAGTCAGTGCCAATCATAATATTCCTGCTGGCACAGAAATTCGCCTGCAGGAGAGTTGGATACTTGAATGGATCTACCTACCTCACATGGGTGTTATATGGATTAAAAGGCAATGATTGTGAAATCCTCAAAATGAAAAGCTCTCTGCAAATATTAAGCAGTCTATTAGCGGATATGCTCAGGACAACTCAAGTGTAGATTTTCTAGAGAAGTAGGACAGGCACAGGCCTCAACTTTGAAAAGAAAACGGTTATGGAGTACACCACCAATGTTTAATCTGCTTTGCTTCTTAAAAGCTGACAATATGCAGGCTCTCAAAGGGAAGTAATATCCTTCCAGAAATTGTTGCACCTATGTGCAAAATACAACTTTTGAAGTTTATTAACCCAACAGGCAGATTAAGTCTTCATAATAAGGTGACTACTAAAACGTCTTCAAAACTTCACGCTAAGCAAAGTATCCCAGCAATGTTATTTATAGGCATATAAATGTCCCGACAAAATACTCATAAATGTTTTCTAACCAAATAGAACTCGTGTAGTTAGATGTATACGGCAAAGGTATACACAGTCATCCATGTTGCTGTCTCCGTATTATTTTTATGGTTTAGCTTCAGTAATTAATGTTCAAAAGACCAAGTCTAGATAGACTGATTAGTCCAGAAAATAAGAAAATGTACTATTTATAGAACAGAAACAATGTTTTTTTCTATTTTAGTCATTCTAAACATTTGAAAGGATTAAATGGAACTAAAAATCTGAAGTCATACTTTCAGTTCACCAGAAAGACAATCAAGAAGGGAAATTATTAGACTATTTTTTTCCCCTTTACATCAGGTTGGATGAGGCCAAAGGGGAGAATTAATATAATACTTAGGAGGGATACCAAAGGTCAAACCATCAAAATACCTTTCTCAAAGAGTTGCTTTGAGGAATAAAAGCTACCAGACAGCATTTGCTCTAGAGGAAGAAAGTCTGGGTTCAAATTCTTCCTCTTCCATTTATTAACTGCTTGACTTTGAGCAAGCTACTTTGTCAGGGAAGCTTTCTCTGGTGTCCTCGAACTAGACTGATTTTTCTGAGTCCGTGTTCTTTCAGGATTCAGTCCCCTCCTCGCTGATTTTCACAGTTGTAACTACATATGGGTTGATTTGTTTTATATTTGTTCTCTGGCTACACTGCAAGCATCCATAATGAAGAAACAAGCTAGTGTATCCTATAGGTCAGTGCTTGGCACACAATAGGATCTCAATATGCTAAGTATTAATATCTATTTCCTAATTTAGCTGTTATAACAATCCTAAAGTTAGTGTCAGTACTACTGTCCTAAGAAGAAAGTGAAGCTTACAAGCATTAAGTGCTTTGCCAAAAGTACTAAGTGCTGGCCGGGTGCGGTGGCTCATACCTGTAATCCCAGCACTTTGGGAGGCCAAGGGGGTGGATCACGAGGTCAGGAGTTCAAGACCAGCCTGGCCAAGATGGTGAAACCCCAACTAAAAATACAAAAATTAGCTGGGTGCGGTGGCGGGTGCCTATAATCTCAGCTACTCGGGAGGCTGAAGCAGGAGAATCGCTTGTACCCGGGAGGCAGAGGTTACAGTGAGCCGAGATCAGGCCACTGCAGACTAGCCTGGGCAACAGAGTGAGACTCTGTCTCAAAAAAAAAAAAAAAAAAAAAAAAGTACTAACTGCCATATTCAAAACTTAAAACCAGGTCTCATCACCAGAGCCCTACACTGTAGTGTCTCCTCCATATACCAACAAACTGAGAGATTCACACCATTTTGTCCAATTTTGAGCCTAAATACTGGTGAAGTCAACTTGCCAAATACACATGTGCCTAATAAACCCACTAATTTACTGTCCTCCCTGTTTATAAATAACCCAACACCTAATAAACCCACTAATTTACTATCCTCCCTGTTTATAAATAACCCAACACAAGAAACCCAAATAAGGGTTTTCAGGTCTATATGACATTGCTTTCTTAATGAAATAATAATAATAGCATAAGTTTAGAATGTACATTTTATAGAAATAATAAAATCAACAACTTAGGAGGGAGGGAAAATGTTCAACTGACTCATCCATGACAATGTAACTACTCTCTTGCTTATTCAAACAAGAAGTGTCCTACGATGCTATCTTCAGGGTGTCAGTGTGCTAACATGACAAGGGACTATCCTAGAAGTCCGAGCCACAGCTCTTAGACTCAACAGCCATATTTTTGTCTTGCCTTGGCCTTGAATTCCTCATCTGCAAAATGAAGACTAAATTGGCTCTTTGAGATTTCCTCTAAAATTAGGATTCCATTATTTATATTAAACAAGGAGGAGGAAATAAAAGTAACCACTGAGTCAATCATCAATGGCCTGTAGTATTTGGCTGAAGGCTTCATGGGTAAGTCTCCCCAGGCTCCATTCAAACAATTTGATGGCTGAAACCTAAGTTACGCAGTCATTTTTTCCTGGCCTATCTAAGCTACATTAGTAAGACTGAAACCTCCCCTAAGATTTAACCCCACAAATTTTTAATAAATATATGACTTAGTAACTCTTTGGGGAAATAATTGTTTGCATAGCCTTTCAGTCTTTGTTTTGCAATCCTTAAATCCAACAAAACCTGTGAGACAAGAAAGATGAATTTGAAGTTTTTCATGCACTGAAAGCATTCCTGGAATTGTAACAAAATTAGTTTTGGGAGGAAGGTTAGTCTATTTTTATTCATTGTGTGGAACACACAAGTATTTCACTTGGACCTACAGACTGA